GCAGCCACTCCTGATGAGATCTGATAGACTAAGATCAGAAGGAAGGAGAGGAGGACCTCCCCTATCAGTGGACTTGGGAGGGGCAAGCGAGAAGAAGGGGGAGGGAGGGTGGGGCTGGGAGGGGAGGAGGGAGGGGCTTATGGGGGGATACAATGTGAATAAACTGTAATTAATAAAATGATAATAATAGAAATAAAGAAAGAGCACATGTGCATACATGAGTCTCTTTGGTTGCCCTCTCTGCCCTCCTCTCCCCAACTCTCTTTTTCTACTTAGGATGGCTTCATCATGATGACCTTGCCTAATCCTGATCACCTCCCAAAGGGCCTACTTTTTTCAGTGCTTAGGGATGGTCCCCAGGGCCTTCTACATGCTAGACAATGTTGGGGTTGATCTGAAGCTGCTGTGAATTCAAATGTAAACTGCTTGCTGCTGTCCCAACCCCAAGATCCTTATTGCCTTCTAAATGTTCACTGATTGGCTAATAAAGTTGCTTCAGCCTGGACTGGGTAGTAGAGAGGTAGGTGGAGCTAAGGTTCTGGGGCTTGAGGTCACAGAAGGACCATGAGGATAGAGAGAGGAGGAGAGAAGGCAAGAGCAGGTAGTTCCCCATGGGTTAGCATGAACTAGAAGCACGTAGTGGCCAGAGCTTGCTCTGAGAATTGGCAGGATGGAGAGAAGCAGCCCAAGTGGAAAACATGTGAAAATATTTATGGGGGTTTTGGCAGGAAGCAGACAAGAGAGCTGCCCACCCCTAGTGTTTTAAGGCTTATCAAAAACTAACAGGTGTCTGTGTCTTTTATTTGTGTGGTTAAGGAATAACGGCCACCTTATATGAATCAGCATTAAATAGTAACAGTCATTCTACAAAGCAAGTGCTCTACCACAGAGCTGCTTCCCCAGCTGGGTGGTTGGTCTTGTCAACCTAATGAGACCTACAGTGGCCTATGAGGAGGGACTCTAAATTGAGGAACTGAATCTATCAGATTGTCTTGTGGATATGTGTATGGGTGTTTTCTTCTTTGAGGACTGATGTGGTAGGGCTCAGACCCTTGCTGGACAGGTAGTCCTGGGTGGTGTAAGAGAGCAGGATGCTCAAGCCATGGAGAGGAAGCCTGTCAGCTGTGTTCTTCCATGGTCTCTGCTACAGTTCCTGCTTCTAGGATCCTGCTGTAAGCCCTGGCTCGGACTTTCCTCTGTGGAGTGTGACAGGGAAGAGTAAGCCTTCCTTCCCCAAGTTGTTTCTTGGTCAGTGTTTTATCATAACAATAGGACACTAAATACTAGTAGTGAGATTATGTTTCTACCCTCTGATACCAGGAGGGGATTGAATTTCAATACAAAAAGCCTTGAGTAGGGGAAGCCACTCAAATGATATGTAAATCATTGCAGGTAACATCCATTCTCATCATGCCTCACTCTGTTCTTTGAACACATCTTTCTCCAGCATCACACTGATGCCACGGATTTTTTTTTTTTTTTTTTTTTTTTTTTTTTTTTTTTTACAGTGCAGTACCTGACCTGACCCTGTTGTCCACCCTGGGGCAGGACGGCCACTGCTTTTGAAGTAGCTGTGAACTTTGGCTAAGGCCGTCCCGTGTCCCTCTGATTTTGTTTGCTGACCACCGCATCACAGGGGCAACAGTGTGCCTGGGCTAGGTTTTCATTCTACGAACCGTTCCTTGGCCAAAGAGCGTGGCCTTTCTTCTTTGCTATGGCTTTCAGAATCAATGCAAGAACTCTGTATTCACGTCTGTTAAATTTTAAATTCTTGACAGTTTGGAGTCACTGGACTAGCAAGATGGCAGTGTTCAGGATCCTGATTCCTTTGTGCAGCGTGTTAACTACAACTCCCCTGTTGCTGTCACTCAACTTTCTGACAAGTGTGCCTTGCAAGTCTATGCAAGCCACTAATGAGCATGCATGCAGGGCCGGACCTCTGTTGGCCACATGGCCCAGCTGCCTGGAACGCATGTCCTATCATGTTGCCATGTCTCTTCTGTTTGTCAGCACTTTGGACGTCCTTGTTCACCAGTTACAAATCCACTTAGCGGAGCTCTATCCCAGCCCCATTCCTCCATCTTGTCCACAGGAATATCCTGAGAGGCTCTGTCAAGTGCCTTGCTGAAGGCCAGACATACAGATCACCCTGCCTAACAACCCTCTAGTGAGAGGAAACAAGATTAGATGAGGATGACTGTCGGGGCTGCCGGCCTCTTGGCAGTCAGCGCTTTCTTGCCCCTGAGCTCACAGATCACCCTGCTATGATTAGCTCTGCTCTCTTACTCCATATCTCAGGAAAGCTCTCCCCTTCTACCACTCTTCCTCCCATCACTAACCCAAGCCACCTTCAAAATGGAGGCTTTTGTTTAGCCCAGCTCCTCTGCTTGTTCTTCTTTTGTTGTGAATCCTTGAGTCCTCCACCACAGTCATGTCTGCAGAGAATAACGGGGTTTTCCTTCCTGTCGTGGTTTCATTCTGTGGGCCACACCATCTCACACAACTCCCAAGTTCACCATGAGACCCAAAGGAGAGAAAAGAAAACTTGTGTGTGAAAATTCCCTACACAACACCTAGGATGTCGTGGATAATTGTTAACTGAAGCAACAACAGAGATGAAAAAAATTTCCCATCATGACAAGTGATGTACCCGTAAAGTATTTATCTACAAAGCCTTGAATTACCTTGAAATTTCTCCTCTTACATCTAGTTATTTAGTTATTTGTGTGTGTGCACACCTGTACCACAGTATGTGTGTGTGTGTGACGATCAGAGTACAGAGTGCAGGAGTTGGTTCTCTCTACTGTCTGGGTTCCAGAGCTCAAACTCGGCTCTCTGGGCTTAGCAGCAAGCACCCGTTACCCACTCAGCCATCTCTGCAGTCCTATGTTACCTTCTGAGTTGCACTTTGTGATGTCATATACTTAAGGAAATTATTCAAAGAATTTGAATATTTGGCCTGGTTCGGGCCCTGAAAGCAGCTTATTCTAAATCAGATTTAACAGAATTTCAAAGTTTCCTTGCACCCCATTGCTAGGTAGTACTGAAGGGAATGGATAATCAGCAGCATAGGTTACATGAGTGCTTTTTGCTGCTTTAATTCCATGTAAATGGAAGGCCAGTGTTCTGGGTTAAATGGCATGGTATTTAAAACCTGAAAGTTTCAGTTACAAAGAAGACACCTGGCCAGTAAAGGCGAGGACTCAGAAGCCCTTTGTAGCAGGAACCTAGCTCTCCTGTTGACAAGTGTTAATTGGGATGTTGCTACTGCTAATTGGCAGATTGCCCTGACATCCAATCTCAGCCAAGCCAATGGTATTATCACCCAGGCTACCCTGAGAGTAAGGTTCCCTGTCCTAGAAGTAAAACGAATTACAGACTGTAACAACACCGTCCAGAATTCTTCCTTACAGCTGGGAAAACTGAGGCACATGGCAATCAGAAGCAAAGAGGCTCCCATTAGATACTGCCATCTGAACCTTTTGCCTACATTCCATAGTCAGATCTTCAATGTTTATTTTGGGGGTTACTCCTGTGGGTCCCCTGCGTCTCACTTCATCAGACAGTGTTGCATGTGGCCGTGGTTCAGGCTGCTCCTGTCATTTAACGTAGTTGCTGGAATCATGAAGCCTTAGCTCTGCGCTGTCTGGTACCCCAGCAATGTGGATGCTGAGACGACAGCCTGCATCTCCGGGATGTACAAATTAGAGCTGATGGATGGGATGCCACTAATAAAATGTCACATCTCATGGATGGAGATGGGCCAGGGGCCCAGTGATAAAGTGAGACCGTCAGGCTCTGACATACACGCCTTCCCGCCATATTATTGACAGTGGGGGATAGTATTGATCAAGCTGCCAAGATTATCCTATTACACAATTAGAATATTAGATTTGCATTTTAATCCCTTTAGAAAAAAATTGGCCTGTGGCAATTATGGCGGTGAAATATTAAGATGGAGCCAGCTCTGTGGAAAGTAAGAACTCAGGAGCTTTCAGGAGTAGGCAGCCACCATCAGAGAGACATCCACCCAGGAAAAGAACAATAGCAAAGCAAGGAGAATGCATCCAGGCAAAGTGGCAGGGCTTCTGGAAACAGACTTTCCAGGAAGGATGTGGGTGAACTGGTCCCAGGGCATGGTGTGGGGACATCAGCCCATGGGTGTTCCTGTGACATGACACATTCAAGTGTGTGGACACTTGAACCTCCTGTGGGTAGACGTCCCATCTTTTCTGTTTGTCCAGTGCTGCTTTTGAGCTACAGAGCTGTCTCCTGCCCAGCTAGCCTGCTTTTTCCTGGCGGGATTTACTCTCTGCAGGGGTCCAGACTGGGGGTTGCATCCCTGGAG